TGTTTCCCACTCCCCCATCCTTCAGCTCTTCCCAACCCTCCCAGCAGCCCTCATGAGCAAAATCTTCCTTACTCAATTCTTCCTTAGCCACCTCAGCCACTTCTTCCTGATTGGTCTGCTGAGGTTTCGAGACGAGCTCCCCCTCTTCTGCCTTCTGGTGGTACATCCATCTCTTGCACACTTCCTAACAAATCCAGCTCCCAAAGGAGATCTTTTTGCATTAAAATAAACGCTTTTTCTACCATTCCCCCTTCTCCCTCCACGTATTTCTTCTGCCCACACCTGCTTAGGGTCGATGCTATGAAAGGCGGAGAAGCATTTAGATGGTCATACATTAGTCACCCAGGATTCATTTGGCATCTTGCCGCTTGATAAATGCTACCTCATGCCCTCTTATCACCATATAAGATCATCATTTTGGCATGGAGACTGCCATTTGTTATTCTGATACAGGAAAGGGGATGAGGCAAATTAACAATTGGCTGGCTGTGAGCTGAAAGCGTTTGCTATGCTCCCATGTCTTACCTGCCATCTGGCAGCTATGAGGAGGAGCTGGCAACATAGGAAGCCATCCATTGCTTGAGAACTCCATATCTCAATAGCTTTCCTTTCTCATCTCTGGTCCAGCCTTTTGACCATGGGAGACCTTTATTTCATGCCTGGCCACATCCCCAGGTGCACGCCATGTTGGGCTAGATGGGCCAGTGGTCTGAGGAGCTCCCCCGGAAGAGATTCCCAGAGGAAGGTGCGAGGGATTGCATCCTGCTGTGGATATAGCATAAAAGATAGAGCTTGGCTCCATCACTCAGGGGGTGGTGGAGCCATCTTAGAGTCTGTCCATGGCCTGGTGTGGAACTCCGGGTTCACGCCCCCAATGTCTCCACATAGAAGGATCTCAGCCAGCAAGGCTGGAAGTTGCCGTGAGCTTTCTGAGCAGATAGGCAAGGCTTGCAAGCACTGAGGAAGAGGAGGCCAAAGGATGAGACCCCCACCCCCACCCCGGGGCTGGGGCTGGGGCAAGACTGGCACAGGGCACTGAGTGCAGAAATCCGTTTGAGGAGTGGCAGCTGCAGACCTGAGCAGAAACAATCTGCCCAAAGGGAATTTGGACCAAGGAGGCAGGCAGGACTCCATGAGAGCACGGCAGGGTGGTATAGTGGCTAGAGTGCCAGACTGGGGCACAGGAAAGCTGAGTGCTAGCTGCCTCTTGGCTCTGAAACTCCCTGGGTGACTGTGGGCCAGTCCCTGCCTCTCAGCCCCATCTCCCTCACAGGGTTGCTGTGAGGATCAAATGGAGAGGAGGAAGAGGGCTGTGGAAGCTGCCTTGGGTTCCTCGCAGGAGGAAAAAGGATGGGCTGTAAACATCATGGAGAGAGAAAGAGAAGGCCAGTGGCCACCAGGTGGAGGGACACCTAGGTTCAGATCTCTGTGTTCATTTTTGCTTCAAATGAAATTGGAGTAACTGCACTAAGCAGAGTCACTTTTTCATACCTGGGCATTTCTCCCCCCCCCCTTGGGGGGATACTAGTGTGTCCCCCTCCCCTCCCCACTGAATGAGGAAGCCGAATGAGCATTCATATGATGGAAAATGGCGCACAATTGTGCTTTCCCTTCCAAGGCAACTGCTCCAATCAGATTTGCAGTTCCTGAAAGCAGCACTGTTTGGCCCTCACTTTCCTTTCTGGGATGTGGATCCTGAAAAGTCTGAGATTTTACACCTTACAAACAGTCCCTCGAAAAACCGTACCATTTCTTCTGATGGCCACGCCCCTCACCTGGTCCCACCCTCTTTCCCCCAAGGGCCAATCATCGGGCAGCTTCCTGACTTGTGTGCATGATTCCCAATTCCGAATTGTAGTGCCTCCCCAAGGCTTAGTTAATGGGAGGGAGGGCATTATGAAATTCATTACGGACAAGTGCCAGGCTTTGCACCTAGCAAGAAGAAACCAAATGCATCATTGCGAGATGGGAAATACTCAGCACAGCAATAATGAAAGGGAGAAGGATCTTGGAAATGCTGTAGGTCACAAGCTGAATATGAGTCAACAATGTGATATGGTTGCAAAAAGAGCGAATGCCATTATAGGCTGCATTAATAGAAGGGTCACTTCCTGATGCCGTGAGACACTAGTTCCCCTTTACTCAGCAGTAGTCAGACCTCACCTGGAGTACAGTGAGCAGCCAAGTTTAAAAGAGATGCAGAAAAGCTGGAAAGCGTTCAGAGGAGGGCAACAAGGGTGGAAAGAAAGGAGAGATGGAAACCACTGGAAATGTTCAGCCTGGAGAAGAGATGCCTGAGGGGAGACGGGAGAGCACTCTACAAGGACCTGAAAGGCTGTCACAAAGAGGAAGGACAGGATCTCTTCCCGATCATCCCAGAGTGCCAAAGTGAAATAAAGAGGTCAAATTGCACCAAGCAGGAAAAATGTCCCAGTGGTTAGAGCAGTAGAACAATGGAACCCATGACCTAGGGAGGTAGTGAGCTCTCCCACACTAGAGGCATCCAAGAAGCAACTGGACTGCCCTCTGAGAGGGATGGTTTAATTTAGAGTCCAGCACCCAGCAATTACCCTTCAGCCCTTTCCAGCTCTATTATACTGTGATTAAGATAAACTATGGTGGCCCTAGAGACTCTTCAGATGGAATCTGGCTCTCAGACTAAGTGCCGCTCTTTCATAATAAAAGCCATCTGGCAATCCCAATCTCCTCCATGAAGCCGCAAAGTGTGCGTAGCCATGGCCCTAGCTACCATGCTTCTAGTCACGGCTTTTATCCCACCATCGTGCCTTATGCACAAGATGGACTTGGTTGCTATCCACTTGCAGCCCACCTGTTTCCCCACCACATCACCTTCAGCCACATGGAAAATCCTCTTAGTCAGGACCCCGCGGGTGTGGGATGGGCTTCCAGGGGAGGTGGTTGAGGCCCCATCGGTGAGGGTGTTCAAGGACAGGCTGGACATGCACATGGTGGGCATGTCGTGAGCAGAGCCGGCTGGAGCCGGGGGTCAGACTAGATGGCCCGGGAGACCCCTTCTGACTTGCTCTGTTTCTATGTTTCTAAGGAAGAAAAGGAGAACTAGCTGCACCAGGGCTTCAGTTGACAAGAGGCAGGTTCTTGCAGAAGTTCTCCAAGACGGACTGAAGCCCCGTCTCTGGAGCCTTTGAGTCTAGGTTTGTGCACTTTGGGCAGCTCGTGGCCAAGAGGAGTGACTGTTTCCCAGTCACGATGGGATGCTGCACTTTGGGTGCTTCACTGCTATTCATTCCCCCAACGTGGCTCTGTCAGGAGCAGCTTGCACATGGGAAACACCACTGTGGGGCTCTCAAGGCAAGCGACTTGCTCCCAAGTCATGTCAGGGACTCAGCTCAGACTCGGCTTGGGAGCACTGAGAGAGTGACTCCACTCCACTCAGGATTTCTGATTTTTTATGACCGAGTCACCGTCTACATTTTTTGCAACAGGGCTTTTTTTTACAGGCTGGTCATGTAAGCATGAGATGGGGATGGTGGGGATTTTCAAGGGGGTGATGGCAGGATTGAAAGGAGGTGGTCACAACAGGGGGAAGGCAAGGGTCACCCTTTTTGTTTGGTGTGAGGCAGGCAGTCGGAGGAAGGGATAAGAAGGGGCAGGGGACGCAATATGCGGAAAGCTCCCGCTCTTTTTGGTGCACTTTGCTCTTTGGGGCAGGAAGTGCATCTGCGCTTCTCTTACCTGCTGCTTCTGCTCTGCTCCTACATGTTTCCAGGGAGGAAGAAACAAAACATTACATAAATCGAAATAAAAATTAAATACATTTTAAATTATTAAATAATTAAATATAAGGCTGCTGCTGGGGGGGGCACCTCCAAAAGTGGGGGTGTACTGTATACCCTACTAAGCCACTGCAGGTGCAAATAGGAACGTGGGGGTGTACAACTCCCCCTCCCCACTGCACACCTCTCTTCTTCTTCCTGTTCAGGTTGGCTCTTGAGACTTGACAAGAGCCTTGAGACTCGACTCGACATGTGTTTGCGAGGGCTCGGACTCGACCTGGACTTGAAAGTAAAGCCTCGAGACGTGGAACACGGCCTTGCACACGTCCCTGGGAAGCCCAGGCGGTGTCCCGGCTGAGCCCCGCGCCGCGCCGCCTCGAAGACCCGCGCTGCCTGTTTGCCCGGCAGAGAGGCGCGGGGGCTCCGCGGCGGGGCCAGCAGCACCCCGATGCCCCCGTCCCCCCGGGCTTCCTCGCCCACCGGATTGCTCCCCCGCGACCCACACCCGTTCCCCGCCGCAGCCGCGGCCTCGCTCTCTCCAGCCCGCGCCCGCGCCCGCGCCTCCCGCGGCGGAACCGGCTGCGAGGGAGCGCGCACCGCGCTCGGCAGCTCGGCTGCCGGAGAAGGGGCATCCCCTCCGCGGCGGCGCCGGGCCGCCGGGGAATCCCGCATTTACGTCTTTGCGCCCCCCCCCCACAAGCTTTGCACCGATCGCAATTTTTCAGACGGGGGCGGCGGGACGCGGCGCGCCCCAGCGGGTCCTGGCCGGCCGCGACTGCCCGGCGCAACCGGGGGAGAAGGGCCGGCGGGGGCGCCGCCGCCCCGTCCGTACAATGGGCCACGCCCGACGGTGAGGCGCGGCGGGAGGGGCGGCGGCGGAGGCGGCGGCGGCGCGGGGCGCGCTCGGCCGCGGAGGCGGGCGCAGGGGGAGTCCCGCGGCGGGCGGCGAGGAGCGCCCCCCCCCGCGCGGCTGCTCCACCAGGTGCGGCGGCTCGCGCGCCCCCGCCCGTGCCTGCCCTGCCAAGCCCAGCCCAGCCCAGCCCAGCGCCGGGGATGCTTCTCCCGCGACGCGCCTGATGCCGAGCTGCGGGCCGGGGGACGGGCTGCCTGGGATGTGACTGCCGGCCCGCGCCCCCCTCCTCCCCTCCCCCCCGCCCCCCCCGCGCCGCGCCGCGCCGCGCCGCGCCCTGCCCTGCCCTGCCGCCGGGGGGCCTCTCCTCGCGAGGCGGTGGCTGCGCGCAGACCATGGCCTTGGGCTTCCCGCAGCTGCTCTCCCTGCGCCTGCTCACCCCTCGCTCGCCTCTGAGGACCGGGGCGGCGGCAGCGGCGGCGGCGGCGGCAGCGGCAGGGGCAGGCGAAGACGACGAGGAAGACGAGGAAGGGGACGAAGGCGCGGGCGATGGGGCTGAAAGCCAGGAAGGCGGCGGCCGCGGCGGCCGACCCCCCGCCGCCGCCGCCGCCGCCGCCGCCGGGCGCTGCTGAGGGTGGCCCCCGCGCCGGGGACGAGAGGAAAGCGGGGCTCGCCGGCGGCGACCCGGAGCAGGGCTCGCTGGCCCTGGGAGCCGGCGCGGACAAAGAAGGCGCTCTGCTCCTGGAAGGCGGCGGCAAGGAGGACGGCGGCCGGAGGTCGGCGCAGGGCATCGGGCTGCTCGCCAAGACCCCGCTGAGCCGGCCCGTCAAGAGGAACAACGTCAAGTACAGGAAGATGCAAACTTTGATCTACGACGCGCTGGAGAGGCCCCGGGGCTGGGCGCTGCTCTATCACGCCTTCGTGTGAGTGCCGCGCCGCGCCGCGCCGCGCCGCGCCGTCCGCGGGGGCGCCCGTCCTTCCCGGGGCGGTTTGGGGCGGGGGTCACGCCCCCGTGGGCCGCCCTGCGCTGGAGATGGATGGGGTGGGCTCGGTCCCGCCGTGGGCAGGCTCCCACCCCGCCTGTGGGGTCTGGAGGCTCCGGCCGCAGCGGCTGCACTGTCCGTTCAGGGCGCTTTCGCACATGACCGGGCAGCAAACGCGGGTTTGCCGGTTAGCTCCGTGTCACCAACACGGGGCCGCAGTGGATCGCAGAACGATCCGCGCGTCTGCAAGGCCTTTTTCACTGCGTTCTTCACTGGGCGGAAGACTGCTCATGTAATGTGTGCATCGGGCTCTCTCTGGTAAGGTGCTGCCAAAGGCGGGTCCCGCACGGGCACCGAGGTGTGGTTCTGACCCACACAAGTGCTTATTCCTGCGGAGGAGCTGGGAGTGAACTCTGACTTCCGTGAGCTACTTCACAGAAATGCTGTTGCTTGTGGCAGGGATGCACACAGAGGAATTCTTGCAAAACATCCGTCTCTTCCGCCCCCAGGGAATCCAGGTGTTGCATCTGGAGCATTAGGAGCCGTGATGTGCTCCGATTCCCCCTCCCTTTCTTGCACATTAAAGGATGCCAAGAGGGTGTGAATGGATGCCTTCTGTAATCGTATAGCACGGCTTTATTTTCCGCTTAAAAGCTGAGCTCTGGAGAGGCACACAGGCCGAGACGTGAAGGCTGAGATAACGTAATGTTATCTTGGTCACTTGCAGGAAAACATGTTTTCCTAAAAGTCTGAAGCGCTCAAGGTGTTGTGGGGGATTTGCCATAGAAACGGTGGCATTTGATGATCCGACAGTGTTGCCTTATCATTCTAGTCTAGGCAGAAGCCTCATGGAAACTTGTTGTCATCCAAAAGAAATGCATTGGGAATTTCTCTGGGAGCTGTGCTTGTGCTTGAGGGAACAGTGGTGTCAGCTTTGCTGCTTTCAAATTGAAAGGGGGAAATTATTATTTTTCTTGGGTTTTAAGGTGTGTAGAGAATGCTATTCTAGCTTGGTCTCTGATATGCTGCCTTGACTAACCACTAAGGATTAATTTTGTGTTTTGAAAAACTAAGGTGCTATCCACTGAATTTTGCTCTGCATCTAACTATGAAGATGAATAAGCTTTTAGGAAAGCAAGGTCACTGATCTTGTTTTTAAATTGCTTTTTTGGACAAAACCGAGAATCCATTTATCTAGCATTTTGGTTTCTGACAGTGGCCAGTCAGATGGTACTGGGAAAGTCAGAAGTAGGGTGTGGAGGTGGTTCTGTCTGGATCTGTCATTTGTAGGTAGACAGTCACTTGACACAGAGGGTCTCTGTAATTTCATGGCTAATTGATAGCCCCCCACTAGTTTATCTGAACATTCTTTCAGTTCACAAGAATTAAATGCTTCCATATACTGTTTCCAACTTGGGCCATGTGCTGTGAAGGGCTTGGAAATGGGCTTAGAACCCAAGGTAGCATCTAGGTTTGGGATTCTGCGGTCTTCCAGATGTTGCTGATGTGCAACATTCACCACAATCAAAACAGTCGGGATGGATGGAGGTTGTCCATCTGGATGAGCAGAGACTGCCCCACCCTGCTGTAGGTGAAATGAATTGGAGGCAGACAACCTGCAGAAATAGGTGGTGGTGGTGTAGTACCAAAGAGTCATTGAGGAACCACAGAGATTGCTGGATTGTATCACGGCATGAGCAGTCCTAAAAGGTACAGCTGGGGGGCCAGAAAAGGCTGAAAGTGCTTGCAAGCCAGCAGGGAACTGCTGGCTGCCTCCTGTTTTCGCAGGCTTGACCCACTGGATCGCTGGCCTGATCGAACCCTGCTGAGATGCATCACAGCTGTGCAGTTGTGTGGGACCTGAGCATGAGAGCTACAGAGGTGTGTAGCAGTTAGTCCGGGGGCAGGCAGTGTGCCAACGGGCACTGGCATATCCCTGGCCGATGTTCCTGGCATCATGCGTTTGCCTTCTCCTCTCCACATTTTTGGCTAGCATGTTTCCCTGCTGGCAGTTGGGACTGCTGGGGAATGAGTTTCTGCTGGTGCTGGAAAACGTGGGTCCAGGGGCACTGCTTTGGTGTGCTGGCCTCGGACCCCCACCTTCTGGGCAGGTGACTTGTCCTTTGTCATGCTTCCCATGCCGTCCATTTGTGGTGGTGCCCAGGGTGGCTTCTCGGATTCTCAGAGGTAACCGTGGTCCAAGGGGCTGCCCATCTCTGGTCCAGCATGCTGGGCTGACCATGGCGATTCTGGCGCCAATGCCTGAGCAGCCCCCCCCCCCCCCAAATTACAGGGTCATTGTGTAGACCCATCTCTGTCCCTAAGATGATCATGCCCTTTGGTGCTGCTGCCAGGATAAAGGAACAGGAGACCAGGGGGATCATCCCGTGCTCCTTGGAGGCAGAATGAGGTCCATACTAGCAGCAGCAGCAGCAGCGATGATGTAGGTCTGGTAATGGGGTAGTCATAGGACATTTGTGTGGCATGCATGGAGCAGCCTTCCTCAGCTTGGTGCCACAAGCTGTTATGGGCTTCAGCTCTCAGCAGCTCCAGCCGCCATGGCCAATGTGCAGGAGCCTTTGGGAGTTGTAGTTCAGGAGCTATGGAAGACATCAGCTGGGGGAGGCTGTCCCAGAGGGTCTTCCATTGGTCTACAGTAGGGCAAAGGAAACGTCTGTCAGTGGAAGGCTGCGTTCTCTCAAGCATAAGCTTTTGGGAGCTCGGTGTTGGGAGTGTGTAGGACTGAAGCCAGGGCTGGTCTGCACTGGGATGATCAGGAATGTGATTTTCCCTGGGAACCATCTTAAGAAGCACAGTGGCAAAGTCCATTCTGTCATCCAAAGCCACTACCATTTTGTTCTGCTGAATGTGTGACTCCAGCTAAGGTACTTAATGTTCTCATGTATCAGATGACCAGGGCAAAGGGAGTCGACCTGGTTCCCCTCCAGATGTGTTTAACTACAACTCCCATCATTGACCCTACTGGCTTGGATGCCTGGGGGTTAGAGTCCAAAATGTCTGGAAGGCACCAGCCTGTCTGTCCCTGGAAAAGAAGCCTTAAAACCAATGAGACTTTAGTCCCATTAATACTAATAGATTGATTCCAAGCAATGAATAGTGGTCCCATCTAGTATTTCATTTTTTTACCTGCTAAAAGTTTCTTCTTAACCCCTAATACCCCACATGACAACAAAATGAATCTGGGACTGGTTTAAATGTTGCCATGGCTGAATTTCCTTCAACTCTGCCCATGTCCTAGCTGGCACGCTTTTTGGAAACTGTGTGGTATCTTCATATTTGGACAAATGTTTCGTGCTTGCCCAAAGGCAACTTTTATTTTTAACTGAACATGTTAACAACTGTTTTACAGAGATACAATTTATCTTTACAACCCTCTGATTGTTTTCTTGGCAATTGATGAGGTAATCTTATCTGTTTTGAACTATGTACTTATGTCCTTTCTATGCCACACAATAGCCAGCGCACTCTGGGTGGTTTTCAACAATTAGGTCTGTAAAATACTATGTAAAACACACAGTACAAATTAGAAAGGTTAACATTAAAGTATAACGTGGATGCAAAAAGCCAGAGTAAAGCTAGCCACATTCCATAGATCGAAAATACAGTAAGGTTGCCATCCGATCACTTCCCACCATTCGGGGGTGGGGGTGGGGGCGGGGCGGCATAGAATATGTCAGAGTCCCAGGTGCAACTTTAGAAAAATACTCCAAAGTTGGAGTGGGGACTTTGTCTGCGGGGGTTGCTCTCTCTGGTCACGAGGCTGGAGCTGTTGCATCGCTACAAAGCTCTGTTAAATCCTTGAGGATAGTGTGGCAGGTGGTGGGACGGCATATTCCAAAATAATTAGACAAGCAGATGAAAATCGTATGGATTTACTGTTTCAGAATGGTCACACTCCTAATTTTAAAGTTGGAATGGAGCTTGGAGGTCCAGCCTCCTGGTCAATGCAGAATGCAGCTTTCAGAAATGGTCTTATGGGTCTCCAGCAAAAAAGAACACGCTACTTTCCGGAACAGGCTGACCCGCTTTGGAACTGTTCTTCCCATATGGATGTTGCTTCCATGTTTAACCTCACTCTGCTCCCCTGCCTTTTCTAGCAATGTCTGTCTAGTTCTGTGATTTGGCCTTCACAGTGGCTAGGCAACTGCTTCTCAGGTGCCAAGGACAACAGTTCCCTCGAGTTTTGGGTCTTCCATAACAGGTATTCAGTGATGCGCTGCTTCTGACCACCACAATTCCATTTCATCATTAATTCCTTCCGACAGAGAGCTAGTGTAGTGCAGGAGAGGAGCGAGCTACAAAGCAGGACGCAGCGCAAATCTCAGCTGCACATCGACCACGTGGGGAATACTAATGGCGACTTACCTGGTGTGGCTGTTGTCAGGATCGCACCTGGATAACTCATGTGAAGCTGGCGGAATGCTTGGGAGTGTTATACAAACGATTCCATGTTCATTCTATAATCCCCAAATCTGGGGATTTGGTGAGTCTGCTTTGAAAGCCATTTGTGACAGGAGCCATCACCAGATCTTGTGACTGATCATTCCATGCAGCTGTTCTGCATGGCGGGAAGATGTCCTCTGTGTGACAGTTAGCAGTGGCTCACTTGGCCAGTCTTTATAGCCAGCACTTCCCTGGAATGGTCCCAGCAACTCAGAGGTGCCTCCCACTCGTGTGACTCTTCCCCCATGTCGATATCAAACCTCAGACTTGTAATCAAAGGTGTTTCCATTCTGCTGAGATTCTCTGGCATGCTCTTGAAATTCTCCTTGTCCCCTCCTCCTCCTCCTCCATACATTTTTTGCATACCGGAAGATCTATTTGGGATGGGTATAGAAAAGACACATTTATTAGTAGTAGCTAAATGGTCTGGGTTAGATCCCGTTTTCCATTAGATCAGGTGCTCTGTAGACTCTTCT